CCGGGTCTGTGCACCTGGATATTTTTCTTCTTCTTTTCACTTCTTTTCCTTGCCAATAACTCTACTACTACTTTACAACTTACTAAAAATGATTAAAATCAATTACAAACAAATGAAGATGATTGCTTAAAAACTAACTAAAAACGGTAAACAATCCACACAGAATAAATATAAAAACATACATTTATGCACTACAAACTAGTGCATATCAATCAGTCAATGAGATACAAATGTACTATGACTATAAATACATTTCTGTGTGTGAGTCTTTTTGGCGCATATTTGTGTTTGAAATTCAATATAAAACCCCAACAGTTAAACCTTTGAGCTTCCATTTGCGGGAAGAACAAAGTGTCGTCTTTCACGAAGATCGATCGGCCTCTGGATTCAGAGATTCAGGCATGTTCAGTTAAGTACAGTATGTTCACAGCATGAATGGAGGCCAATAAAAAGTACCTGAAAGTAATGTTTTAGCATTGTGAGCACATCGATTTCAATGTATATTTACAATGTTATGGTTTTAACGTATTTGTTGGATGTTTTTGATCTTTTAAATAATGCTTAGTAATCTCATTTTGACCATAACATGATAAGTGAGTTTTGTTTAATGCTTTGATGTATATCAGTATTACACGAACATCAATTGATACTGTGATATGAATAACTAAGCACACAAAAATTTGAAACTAAAATTCCTAAACCGTGCATCGCATGAGTGAGTTTACTAGTTTAATAAATGCCAAAATGAAAAGGTTAAAGACATTATCGATATAGATAAAGGCACATACCTAGAATGAAGAAGCCAAATTCATTGAGCTAGAAATATTATTACCCAAACAAAATGTTAAGTTGTTTGTTCAACTGATTCCATTTTTTTAATTAAATAAGGAGATACCTAGAACAATAATCAGGTGGAAAGTACTCAATTTAATAAATTAAACACAAATAAATTAGTAATCAACTTGCAGGATCTGAATTACTTGTCATTGTTATTTGTTTCATCTGATTTTAATGTGTTCTAGCCTAGCTAGTTATCCAATCAACTTGCAGAGTTTCAAGTGGAAAGTATATATATCAAAACTCATTAAAGATTACATATAATTGCTCTTTCATAAGTACGTAAATGAAGCCACTTTTGATCTAATTACACACAAAATTTATAATTCAATTCAATCACACATGCTTAATTAAAGGAAAAGATATATTTAGAGGAAGCACATTGGTTTGGATGGTTTGAGTACAAATATTGAAATCAAACATAATGATGTTGCGCATAAATTACCAAAATTCAAAGTAAATCTTGCTTACAAATTAAACAACTGAATCGTGTTCATCTTAACTAATGACAAATGAGTCATTGACAAAATCATCTATTTTCAGGGTATCAGAAAGCAAATGCATCACAATTGTCACTATATATGTAATTATTTCATTTACTAATCCTAATATTTTGAATTGGTATTTCATAAAAAGATAAAAAGAAAAATAAATTTTAAATGTACCTTGCCGGGCTAAACTTGCCAGTATAATAGAGCCAATGTAGTGATTTCCGGGTCAAATCTACAGGGAAACGTCGTTCTATAAAGTTTGGTTTTGAGAAATAAAATAGAGAATAAAAGTAAAGTGCATGTATTTTTGTTGATTAAGTGAGTATATGATGAAATAAACAAGGCATCGGGATTCACCCAAACATTAACTAAAATTCAATATAAGTTTTTTGTCAATTAATATGAGTACGGTATTGCTATTATATTCCCGACTCCGATTAAGGCAGTGAATGCGTGATTTTCCCTATGTGTGAGTCCCGTTACGGCTCACATTCATCTAAAGAAAACCCCGTTGAATATTAAGATACCACACACGCACTATACAAGATCGGATATATTTCTATCATCAATACTTTGTATGTTTATTCTTCTAGAGAACGGTCTATATTCCAACGCCAATTGACCATATAAACCGCTAGATGTTATGCAACGTAGTTGTATAGATTTAGTTTAAACAGAGTAAACCGTGAATTACTTCTTTTAGGACATGTTTACTTCATGGATTACTAAACTGTGCTTTTTAAGACCCGCGTTAATAAGCGGCGCATAAAATAGTATAGAAGAAAAAGGGGAGAAACAAATTCACTTCCAGGCAATGAATTAGAGCGTATATATATAGCAATTTAAAATTTTCTAAATTAATTAAATGCGTGAGTTTATTTATGAATTATATACAGTGTATTCGCAAGTTAAAATTTTATTAGCAAACAACTTATTCTACTTTCCTTTTAGACAAAGATAATTTTGCTCTAAAGTTTCACATTTTCTGCTATGTTGTTTAAACTTTAAAGTATAGATTATATTAATACATACTTGTTCAATATAAAAAAAATTATGTGATAACAAACGTATATACATCACAAATAATATATCAACAAAATATCATTGTCATGCAACAACAAGCAAAATGTAAATTACAATTTAAAAAATCAACATATTAGTATTATAGCAATGGACTTAAGTGTATGTACAACTGTTTCACTTAATTAAATTTCAAAATCTTTCAAATCAATTTTTTTGGATGAAGGTGGCTTATATTAATAAGAGAGAACGCGAGCAAGTAACAAACAGAAAAAGAACCTCCACTCTACCGTCTGCCCTTGCATCAGACTTAAAATCTGCCACCTCAAAAGAAGCAACCAGATTCGTTGATCCTGAATTGGGCATACCTGAGCCAATGACTAGTAGATGAGATTCTCCACCACCTGCCTTACGTTCAATAGTCTTGACAACAATAAAAATAAAAGCAAACAGAAACACAATGTGTCCACGTGAAAAAATAACTAAAACAAAAATAAGTCTAAAATAAAAAATTACTCCAATCTGCCAAGAGCACTTTATCTTCACGGGCAGGTCTGGTTGATCCAGCCCGCCACTCCCCTGTTTTTTGCTTCATCCAGAATCATGCCATCCTTCTCTAAGTGGTCCTGCTCCTGTTCTTCCCAAGTCCTCCTACGCTTCGGCTCCCCCGTGCCGCTGTTGAGTGTCCCGCCTCCCTCAAGTGCTGCCTCCACTCCGCTATCATGTAGATTGTCATGTTTGTGATTCTGACTCTGGGCCTGCACTTCTTGTGAAACACCGTGTCTGCCTACCTGGTCTCTCCTGACCCCTCCTTCGCTGACCAGCCACTGATTACCACTAGATGCACGGGACCTTCCTCCCCCTGCCCTCAATCAAGGGCCAAACATTTTCACACCCGCTTTTTCCCCATTTTCATACAGTAAGGGGCAGAACTTTTCAGCGTGACCAATTATACCACAAGCAAAGCAGAAGCTAGGTAACTTCTCATACCTGAAATCTACCCAATAACCCCCCCCACTCTTTCTCTGGGTTAATCCCACCTTTAGAGGTTTTTTCACATCCAACAAAACTCTCACCCTCATATAGGCTTCACGTTTTTCAGCAAATTGGTTATCATCCCAGGAAACAAATTTACCCAGATTATTCCCAATCTTACGAGCATAACCAAGATTTGAAAAGCCATAAGGGATATTATGAACCTGGATCCAAAATTCAGTTGTATCAAGGGGAACTTTCAGAGGCATGTCCCCTAGTTTTATAGCTTTTAGCACTAACAGATTCTGATCAAATGACCAGGGACCGCCATTCACCACATGGCTCATATCAATGATATGATAGAATGTAAACAAATACCTCTTTTCCCCGATATCTTGGATGAGCACACCTTTACCCGGACGCCACAACGATGCCATTAGGTCCCGAAAATTTGAGAATTTGACCACCTTGTCCGTCAAGATCGTGCCAACCACCGGGAAGGTTTCCACTCCTTTGTCCTTTGCCTCCGGATCGAGTTCGGTCTCCTCTTCATCGTCCAGCAGCAATTCTTCCCTGTTATTTTCCAGACCCATCCCCTGAATCCTCCCTGTGAGCCGCTCCACTGTCCTGCTTCCCTCCTCTGTGGCCTGTCTGGCTGCATCTCCGTGGTGGTTTCCCTCTGAGAACGAAGCAGGATCGACCCTTCCCTGCTATTGCCGCTGCCATTCCATTCCCGTCGAAATCCCCTGCGTCCCCATATCCCTGCCTCCCTCGCGATTGACATCTTTCTCCATCGATCAAGCAATCCGCACGAAGACGGCGGAACTTCAAACCCTACTTTAAGAGGGTACGACCGCGAGTTTATTCAGATACTTTAAATAAAATCTTTCAAATCATAATAAATCTAGTATCAGATTTTCAATAATAAAAAAGTAAGAACTAAACAAAATAGTATACTTAATGACTAATAAATAAAATATCCAGTTTTAAAAAGTTCGGTTTATTCGGTTTGGTTTGGTTTTGAGATTTGAATACCAGAAACCAAGCAACTACGGTTTGGTTCGGTTTTTTGAGTTCAGTTTCGATTTTCTTGCGGTTCAGTTGTTTTAGTTGTGGTTCGGGTTTTTTCGATTCAATTTTCGATTTCTCCGACCCACCCTACGGAGTATTATTTATTTGTCCAAGTTAAGATAAGTTATTTAAAAATGGTCTCCAACTCTCCATTACATCTCATATTCTTAAGGTTGTCTCAATCTTTCCGTTTCGATCCATCTCACTAAGATTGTTCATATTAAATTTGGTCATTCTTACACTATTCCGTATTACTTTATTAATTTAATATGAAACAAATAAATCCATTTTTCTTAATAAAAAATTTGAGAAGTCCGTGATCGGCCTCCATATAAACCCGTTCATGGTGGATTAAAGTATTTAATCCGTGTAGAGATTCGTGGAAAGAAAATCCCGGAAAAAAGAGAATTAATCTGAAACTATGGTATACAAGATTTATTAGGATCCTTCTAAAAAATCCCATCCAATTATTTTTAGTTAATTTTCCATGTAAAAACAAGTACTTCGCATTACCATTTACCAACCCCCAACGTGCTCTGAGTTCTTCACCATAAACCCATGTTAATATCCAATTCAACCGTCTCACCTCTCACGTTCCAAACCTAATTAATGGCGAGGATATTGCATGATGATATAATCTTTGAAATCCTGAAAAGGCTTCCCGCCAGAGCGTTAATGCGATTCAAATGCGTCTGTAAAGATTGGATGCATTTGATACGTGATCCCAATTTCGCGGAATCACATCTGTCGCATGCATGGGCTAAGCCGGAAGCCTCTTATGTTCTTTTTATGAGCAATACCGGGGTGTTCGCAGCAGATCATACACTCACTCTTACAAATTCCTGCGTTCCTGCAAATCCAGGTTTGTTTCGAACTCATATGCCTTGCTCCAACTCCGTCAATGGACTCATATGTTTCCGCAGCAGAGGCGGCCACCTAGTTTACAACCTGTCCACAGGGGAGAAAAGAGATCTGCCGCTGCCGACGATCCCCGGAGCTTTCAAAACATATGCACTCGGGTTCGATCCGGCTAAAAAAAAGTACAAAGTGCTTCACTTCGGCCACGAACGCGTTTGCCAAATTTTGACCTTAGAGAGAAACTCATCCTGGAGAACCTTGAATGATGCACCGAGGTTCCGTTATGAGAGGTCGTACGGTAGATTAGATTTGATTTATGTTGACGGAAAGTTATACTTCATTGAATGCCGCTCATCCTGGGGAATCTCAATCCGTTTCTTTGATTTGAAAAGTGAGGAATTTGGAAAGATTGGAAGCCCTCCATTCTTGCGTCAATATTACAATATTCCCCGATTAGCAGAGGCCGGAGCAAATTTGGGGTTTGTATCCTGGAAGGAGAAGTCCTGCATCCCGCATCCGGAGTGCTCATTTTGGGCCTTGGACCAAAATTGGGATTTAAAGTGCACATTTTCAATGAAGTGTGATAAGATGTGGGGATCAATTGGTACAGGTAAACTTCTACTGGGAAGGGAAGGGCTGTTTATGTTCGATGTCGAGGCTCGCACTAGTAAGAAGCTTGAGAAGGAGAGGGATAAGTATACACACGTACTATGCAATCATGTAGAAAACATTTTTCCTCTCAACTACTGAATAGGGATATTTTCAATACAGACACCAGAGGAAGTAACATCCTCTCCCATCTATAGCTGCAGATGTTTGACATAATTATAACAGATTTGGTGAAGTTTTGATACTGTGTTGGTACAATGCTTTTATTTGTACTATGAGGCCGTTAACATTTAAATTCTCAAAATTTAAATTGTAGTTACATTACTAAAAACTTACAAAGCTTTGTCACTGCAAATATGATTGGCAAATTTCAATGTTTGAAAATATTGCATGTTAGTAAGAATTGAACTAACTCATTTTGTATGACCAAGGTAAAACCAACATATAGCACCTCTTTGTATAGTTCGTTGCAGTAAAAAACACATGCAAACTGTAGTGACAAACTCAACCATATCACATTTAATAAACGCCAAAATGAAAAGGATAAGCCAAATTCAAAGTACCACCAACATTATCCAATAGATAAAGACACGTACCTAGAATGAATAAGCCAAACTCATGAGCTAGAATTATATTATCATTACCCAAACAACATGCATCTTTAGTTTGTTTGTTCAACGGATTCTATTGTTTTTTTTAATAAATAAGGAGATACCGAGAACCAATAAGCAGGTGAAAAGTACTCAATAAAATAAAATAAACACAGATAAATCAGTACTCAACTTGAGGATCTGAATTACTTTTCATTAATGTGTTCTAACCTAGCTAGTTATCCAATCAACTTGCAGAGCTACATTGCAAGTGGAAAGTATATCATAATTAACTCATTAAAGATTACATATAATTGCTCTTTCATAGATAAATGTATGGAGTCACTTTTGATCTTATTACACACACAAATGATACATTTATAATTCAATTCAATTCAATTACACACGTTTAATTAATGGAAAATATATACAAGTATTTAGAGGAAACATTTTGATTAAGATGGTTTACGTACAAATATCGAAATCAAACATAATCACATAAATTACCAACTCAAGTAAATCTTGCTTACAAATTAAACAAGTGAATTGTGCTCATCTTAACTAATGAAAAATGAGTGATTGAAAAAATCATCTATTTTCAGGGAATAGGGAAGCAAACGCATCACAATTGCCACTATATGTGTAATTATTTCATTTACTGATTCTAATACGGAGTATATTGAATTGGTATTTCATAAAAAGATGAAGAAAAAAATAAATTTTTAATGTTCCACTTACGCTCTCATCCATCCGATTCACGCCTTCAAGTAATTTGGAGCGAAAATGTGATAAAGTCGACTGAATGTGAATTTGCAAAAACGAGTCACTTTCAGGTTTCCCTTCAATTATTTGAAGGGGACATATTTGCTCTCAGTTTCTCCATATAATTATAAATTCATCTAGTGATCTAAATGTAATAGGTCTAAAATTTAATATAATACACATTTTAGAATTTCAAACCTGATTAACACAATTTCAGATTTTTAGCAATTTTTCAAAACAGAGTCATTATTGTGCAACTAGGTGAGGCAACATGAAATGTAGAACTGTTAAAGAGAAAGGTTGATGTCACTTGCCGACTTAGGATGTTTTCTTTTGGACTGAAATTTGCTGGTCTGGTCTGGTCTAGTCTGATCTGGTCTGGTCTGTTCTGATCTGGTCTGGTCTGGTCTGAACTTGTCTGATCTGGTCTGGTCTGGTCTGAACTTGTCTGGTCTGGTCTGGTAAACGTCCGGGCTCTGTGTATTTTATTATAACTACGGAAGTCTGGTCTGATCTGGTCTGGTCTGGTCTGGTCTGGTCTGGTCTGGTCTGGTCTGGTCTGATCTGGTCTGGTCTGGTTTGATCTGGTTTGGTCTGGGACTGAAAACAGTCCAAAAGAAAACATCCTTACTGCTGAAATGTTTTTATTATAGATAAATTCCACTTTTTGGTTCTACAACTGTCTCAACAATCCACAATTAGTCACGTCTTTGACCACTTTTGGCACATGACATAACTACTTTTTTCTGAAAAGTACTACAAATAGTCAAAAAACATTAGTTAAGTATCAAAAATAAAATAAAATTTAAGATGTGAACTAATGTAGAATCAACATCAAACTCATTTCGTTCTATGAGTATGATGTCAATTCCACCAAAAGCACTAGTAGTACTACCACCTGGGTAGCCACCATTCTCTTCATTTTGGCCCCATAACGAGTATAGAGGATTCAATCTCTCATGCGATACTACCTTGTGATGGTACGAATTTGACAAATATATTTGTTGAGCACTATGCGTACCGTGCTGAAATCAGTTTGATAGTTGAATGGGTTACATATATGATAATCATACCTTCTTGATCTTCGTATGTCATTCAACACATTAAATGGTATTAGCTTTTAAGTGGCTAGCAACAACTTGAATAAGGGAGTCAATACAGGTTGTCAAAGTAAGAATTATTGAAAATGAAACCCATCGCCAAGTAATGCTTCAATTCTATAACTACCTGAAGTATATATTCAAGAAAGCTAGTCAATTGTATGTATACGGAGTATTTGACAGTCCACTAGCTTTATTAAATATATACTTACACGGTGTTTTGAAAATATTACTGACAATGAATTTCATTTTCAATAATCATTTTGAGAAGAATGCTTGATTGAACTTCAATGAACAATACGTGTTGTTGCCAGACACTGTCAACACCTGTATAACATAATTGATTGAAGATAATATGAAGATCATGTTTGATCTGATGAGAATGTGTGTCTATTGATGGTCATAATATTTATAGCTAACTTTGGTGTGTAATTGATCATATTTATTTATGAACATATTATTCTCTATGAACGTGATTGTATGGTACTAAATTAATTAATACACCATTCAAATGAAATCTATTCTTGACGTTTCTCCGTTGAATGTTCTGATAAAGACAACTTCCTAATATGCTAAGTATATAATGTTCATTACAGGTATTGATTTTTTTCTATACAGAGACAAAATTTAAAAGATTGCCATTTACTGTTTTGACAAAGTAATTGTATCATCATCACTCATAGTTGACATTTTCACTTTTCTTTTTTAACTAACTACTGATACAATCCTATATTTTATGCCAATGTCCATTTTTAGATATGTACTCCCTCCGTCTCCCTTATATTGTCCCAGTTTACCTTTTTGGGAAGTCCCACTAATATTGTCTCATATCATGCTTGGTAAAGTTTGTGTGGCTCTAATTCATTCTTACTTTATCAATTAATATCAAGCATACAAACCTACTTTTCTTAATATTCGTGTCACCCTCCTCCGTACCAATATAAAAGGGACGGAGGCAGTAATATATTAGGCTGGGAACGAAAAAATTGCAGGAGGCTAGGAACAAAGAGAATGAGAAAAGAAATAAGAAAGGGAAAGAGAAAGGAAAGCTAAGGATAAAAATTGGGAAATTACCACGTGGTCCACCACACTGCACGTGTGGCTAACTGGGAGACTGGTTGGCCGATGACATGCTAAATACTCTCTCCCTCCTGCTAGAAGGTTTCCATTGATGATTTACGATGTTTGAGTGACGATAAAGCAATTTAACCCCTTTTCACACTCTGATTATTTTTAGTAAATAAAATTTACGTATTCAACACGGTGAGAATGTCTAGGTACTACATTAAAACCATTACAAAGTCTGGTAAAAAAATGTAAATTTAATAAAAATTTGATATATAAAGTTAAAAATTAAAACTGATTTAAGTTGACCATGTGAATAGTGGACGAGAATCTTCTAATAGGACGGAGGCAGTACCTTTGTGAGTGTTTTTCTAAGTGTTGGAGGATTCTTAGTTCTATTTTCTTCACACAAAAAGAGTTTGCGGATTCAATTGGGTGTTTTTAAAGTACAATGGGCTAATTGACTTTCCGTACATAGTAGGAGGACATACCTGACAGTTTAATTTTCTCAATATTGAACTCATTTCCTTTTTTGAGAAGTTTAGTGTGGGTAAAATTTATTTACATTTTTTTTCTTACTCAATCACAATAATACATTTCCGCTTTATTCTCAATTTCTTAAATTTCAATCCAAGTCAAACCAGGAAGAAATTTATGAGACAAAAGGAGTATATGTTTTTGAAAATATTACATACTCTGTATGACTGTATATAATACTCCCTCCGTAACTTAAAAATCTTCCCACTTTCCTTTTTCGTCCGTAACACAAAAATCTTCCCATTTCTAAATCTTCCCATCATACCCTCAATAATTCTTAAAATAATACACTATTACAACTACTTTTTTTGGATTTATCCTACATTCCACCACATTATTCCACTATTTTCCCATCATACCCTCAATAATTCATATCATCTTTCACTATTCTTAATCTACCTACTTTTGAAATGGGAAGATTCTAAAGTTACGGAGGGAGTAGAAAATTTTGAATGTCTAAGGAGGCGAATTGCCCTCCATGACCCCATAATCCATGCCTGATAGATTAAAGTATTAAACCCATGTAAATATATTGGTGCACGATTTGAAAGAAAATGAGTAAGGATGTTTTTACTTAGACCGTAATTGCTGCTGGTCTGATCTGGCCTGTTTATGTCTGGTCTGGTCTGGTCTGGTCTGGTGAACGTCTAGTCTCTATGTATTTTATAATTATGGAAGTCAAGTCTGATCTGATCTAGTCTGTTTAAGTCTGGTCTGGTCTGTTTAAGTCTGGTCTGGGCCAGGACTCAAAACAGTCCACATAAAAACATCCTAAATAGAACTGAAACTCTATACTATGACATAAAACAAGAAAGTACAAGAATTCTCCAAGGGAAAAACTCATGACAAATTTAATTCTCAATTATTATTGCTTTTTAAAATCTCATGCAATTATTTTTAGTTGAATTTCTATATAAAAAAAGGTATTACCCCGTGCTCTATAAAGTTAAAATAAAGGGTAATTCTATTTACAACCCTCAAATTGTTATTCACAATCATTAAATTAAATATAATTATTTTTTTTTTGCAAATTTAAATATAATTGTTATTCACAACTATTTAATTAATTAAAAATGATTCTAATATCTAAGTTGCCTTTAGCCACAAACCTATAGCAAACGCTACTACAAATGCAAACGGAGGAAGAATGTAGCAAGGTCTCGATCATTTTGTCTGGCACCTGTCCCATCTTGATACCAATTGCCACTCATCATCGCTGCAGCCAAGTA